GAAAGCTAGAGGCAGCAACGTATCGCCAGTTTTGGTCTGAGCTCTTGGAGTTTGATTCTGATTCAGGGGGCCCGGTACATCCTTTCACTTTGCAGGGCACCCGTAGCTCATCAGCAGGACCCCCACATAAATAAATACATAAAGAGATGTGTATGTATATATATATATATATATATAGATAGACAAGGAAATAGATATATCAATAAACAAATAGAATAAAGATACATATATATATATATATACACATTTTTTTGGGGTTTCCGTGTAAACGCCACCAGCCCCCCAAAAGGGTGCCCCTTACTGCACATGGTTGCCGGGCTGGCACGGGCTCAAAAAAACCCACAAGGTTTCGAAATCCCATTCTCAAAAAAAACGGAAGTTCCCTCTTCCCAAGAAGGGAAGACCTGCCCTCCGCCCCCCCCCCCCCCCCCCCCCCCCCACACAAGTGAAATGCGCCCCCACTGCTGGGAAAGGGGCCGCCACAAGAGCGCAGGTTTAGGGTTGCTTGGGGTTTGGGGTTTGGGGTTTGGGGTTTGGGGTTTGGGGTTTGGGGTTTGGGGTTTGACCGGGGTTTGGGGTTTGGGGTTTGGGGTTTGGGGCCAACAATGTTCTGCTAAAGCTGCCAAAGGCTGTTGAATCTGCTGCTTCAGTGACAGCGGCTTGACACAAAGGCTGAGCAGGCTGGCATGTTCAGGCAAGAGCTAATTAATGCCACGACTCCCGCAAAAATCGCCCCCACACTTCCACCCAACACTGGGGACACAAATCCTCAACGTCGTTTCAAGAGCGCTGCGGTTAGCTGCACAGGAGCAGCGCCAAGCGGAGAGGATCAGCTTCGAGCGGGAGCTGGAGAGGAGGGCGAAGGCGAACTCGGGAGGGCCGGACGTGAACACGCGGGTTGCGAGATTCGGAATCAACATTCTGGGTTTAGGGTGTAGGGTTTAGGGTTTAGCCCCCTATAGAACCCCATATGGCCCATAGAAGTTTCATTCCAACAGGGCGCCCCACTTAATCCACCCAAGAACAATTCGAGCTGTTTCAGGGCCATGTGCTTCTTCAGCTTCTAAACACACTCGCGGAGCCCGAAAGCTCTAATCGACTGTTCGCTTAAGAACCCCGAAAGAATACAGAATAAGAATCCCTATATTGCCCTTAATCAGGAGGAACGTGTTTTTCAATTTTTTCGGGGTTCTTAAGCAATTAGTAGTAAAGCCTTCAAGCCCCAAAGCCCCCAGAAGCAGACTCCTGTTTGGGGAAGCGCCAGACATGTAAGGACTACGGTGGTGGTGGATGTTCCTTCGAACCATGGCAAAATCCGAAGGCCCGAAACCCTGCAGCCCGCGCTAAACTCCCCAAGCCCTCAGGACCCAAGTGTGCCTCCAAGCATGAAATTTGACGCTAGAAATACATAGGGGGGGCTCTTATTCCACATGAGCGGCATGAACCCTCGACCCTAAACCTGAAAGCCTGAACCCTAAACCCTAAACCCTAAATCCAATACCCAAACCCTAAACCCTAAACCCTAAACCCTAAACCCTAAACCCTAAACCCTAAAAACCCCACTCCTTAAGGGGCGGAGGGCTCCTCTGGGCAGGAGCTCGAGCTCGAGAGGCGGAAGGAGCTTGAGCTCAAGGCATGGCTGGCGCCATTAACTTTCTGGTGCCTTGAGGGAGGGTTTAGGGTTTAGGGTTTAGGGTTTAGGGTTTAGGGTTTAGGGTTTAGGGTTTAGGTTTAGGGTTTAGGGTTTAGGGTTTAGGGTTTAGGGTTTAGGGTTTAGGGTTTAGGGTTTAGGGCTGCTTAGGGCTGCTTAGGATCTTTTTCAGCTCGGGTTTAACTAGGTTTGGGGGCCCCAAGAGTCCTCAGCAAGCGATGGATGTGGCTTCTTGGTTTTGAACTTAGGGACGGCAGTCCAGATTCGAGCAATTTGGGGGAGCTTGAGGTTCAGAGTTTAGGGTTTGGGGTTGGGGTTTGCGGTTTTGCGGTTTTGCGGTTTTGCGGTTTGCGGTTTGCGGTTTGGGGTTTGGGGTTTGGGGTTTGGGGTTTGGGGTTTGGGGTTTGGGGTTGGTCATTCTGCAGGGTTCAGTCGATCTCTAGCCCTGGGGTCCCAGACACAATTGTTGCTCCAAATGGCCCTGTTTGATGGTTGTAAAGCAGGGTCTTGACAAGTATTGGTGAGTGTATGTATCTCAGAAGTTTAAAGAGCTACCCAGAGCAGTTAAGGCTGGGTAGTTCCGTACTACTAGTAAGATTTAGGGCCAGCTGGGCCTTTGCGACCCTAAACCCCAAAGTCTAGATAGCTTGTAGCCCTAAACCCCTGAATCCTAAGCCCCAGAAGCTGTGGACGTGAGATTGGGAGCTGACCTCGGTTTAGGGTTTACCCTACTCATCAGCCCCCATCTTATTCCCCGCTTACTCCCCAAGAAGGTAGAGCTTACTTGGAGGTTCATGGGTAGTTCTGAGTAGGGTTCTACTTGCGGCAACTATGCAAATAACCCTATTGAGGCTAGTTATAACCCCACTGATCATCCCCATGAACCTCGAAGTAAGCCTTACGAACCCCCTCAAGCTTTCACCGCCTTTGTAGAAGACAAACCTCGGCCCTGACCCCTAAACCCTCAACCCTCAACCCTAAACCCTCAACCCTCAACCCTCAACCCTCAACCCTCAACCCTCAACCCTCAACCCTCAACCCTCAACCCTCAACCCTCAACCCTCAACCCTCAACCCTCAACCCTCAACCCAAACACGCAGTGCAGGCTGAGCGGAAGGTTGAACAACTGCGCGCGGCCCGTCGCGAGCAGGAGTTGAAGGCCCCTGCATTTGAGCATTTGAAAGAATATTATGATTGGCAAGCCAATATCACTAGTCTTGCAGGAAGTCTTAATATCAATAGTATCAGTATGCATAGGGTAAATAGTATTAATTATTAGTATGCATATTCAATGTTATAGTAAGAATATTATCAATGCTTGTATTAATAGTAAGCTCATAGCGTTTATAAGAACCCTGAGCCTTATAAATCCATGCATACCCTAAACCTTAAAGCCTAAAACCGAGACATGGCTTTCAGGTCCCGGGCTGCCCCTTCCGCAGTGATTTGGGGGAGTTTCAGGCTTTAGGGGTTTAGGGGTTTAGGGTTTAGGGTTTAGGGGTTTAGGGTTTAGGGTTAGTAGTGTTGGGGCTGCTCATTGTCCTATGTCCTTGAGCTCTCAGAGGTTCCGCCGTAGGCTTCAGAGTTTTTGCTTTAAGGTCTGGGGTGCGGGCTTAGGGCCTTCAGGGTTGCGGGGGTGGGCTTTACGGTTGAGGGCGCAGACTCAGTCTCAGGTTTCATGGTTTAGGTTTTAGAAGCCCCAGGCCGATAAGTTCTGAGATCGGGTTAGAGTTCAGGGCTTTAAGCTATAGACTCCATAAACCCTAAACCCTAAACCCTAAGCCCTAAACGCTAAACTCCAAAAATCTACACCCAAACATTGCCGGGCAGTCTGGCCTTGGGGAGGCCCGAAGGCAGTCCGCCTGATCTCGGGTCGCGATAAGATATAAGCACTACACCCTATAGCCCCTGAACCTTAAACCCTAACCCCTATAACTCCTTAAATACCTATAACTCCTTAAAACCACTGTTAACCCCTATAATGCCTGTAGCCCCACTAACCTCTATAAACAGTATAACCGATATGACCCCCTAGGTCTCTGAGGTCCTAAGACATGGACTGCCAGCAAGATCTTGGGGTTAGGGGCTTGAGGGTTTAGGTCTGGGGAGGGGGGGTTGGGATATGGTCACCCCTCATGGTCCATGTACCTCAACAGTGCACATTTGGGTTTTAGGGATTTCTTTTTGTCGAAAATGACTGAAGAGCCCAACTCAACTAAACCCTTGAACCCTAAACCCTAAACCCTAAACCCTAAACCCTAGACCCTAAACCCGTCGGTACATGTTTTTTGCTAAGTTCTGGGCCTTTGTTGGGCACCCAAAGCTCTGCAGGAGTATAGCATCGTAGAGCGCCCCCCCCCCCCCCCCCCAAAGAAAAGGGTCTATGAAGATCGTCTTAAGGTTTAGGGTTTAGGGTTTAGGGATACTAGGACTCGGAGTAGGCCCTTATTTCCCTTTTTTAAGGGTTTAGGGTCCCTTATGATTAAACCCCTGTAAGACAACAAGGGCACCCTTATACTACCTCGGTTCCTCTTGGGCTCCAGACCATGGACCCTCATGCGGATCTTAGGGTCTAGGGTTTAGGGTTTGGTTTTGGGGGGTTCTTGCAAGCCTTTGCACATGGCCGCAGGAGGAGGTCTTGCAGATGAAGCGCCTTGCCTCAATTGAAAAAACCCTAAACCCTAATGCCTAAACCCAATTTTTTTTCGGCGGTGCTTATGGGGTGTGTGTGGTTGAACTGTGGTTGCCTAGGGTTGATAAATCAGAGGGTTTCAGGGTTTACTTGCAGGGCTTACAGTAGGGTTTCGGGATTTAGGGTTTGTAGGGTTAGGGTTTCGGGTTGAGGGCTTAGGGTTCAGTTGGGTTGAGGGGATACCATACGGGCATTACGGGGCGGCCGAGAAAGCACACCACGCACGGCTGTGGGGTTCTCGGGGATACTCTGGTTGGGTAACATTTTGCTTTTTCAAAGGTACTTAAACCCAATAAAGAATAGACATACTATCCCAACCATGAACTAGTTTCGGTCATCCGATCTGTCAGCTGCAGCCTCAATTTGGCTCCGCAAATCTTGGTCCGTTAACAGGCTACCTCGGGGCCCCTAAGCCCTAAGCCCTAAACCTTAAACGTACTTGAAGCCCTAAACCCTAAACCCTAAACCTGATAAACCCTAAACCCTAAACCCTAAACCCTAAACCCTAAACCCTAAACCCTAAACCCTAAACCCTAAACCCTAAACCCTAAACCCTAAACCCTAGACCATAACCCTCAGCCCTAAACCCTAAACCCTAAACCCTAAACCCTAAACCCTAAACCCTAAACCTTAGCTGCCCTCACCATGGCTGCACGAATGGCGAAAATCATGGAGAATCGGTCTGCAAACCTGTTGCACGACAAAAAGCTCCTTTCCTGGCTGGCAGAAACACCGGAAGAGCCTCTAGAAGAGGAGCTGGAGATCGTAGACGCACACCACCACATCTGGGACATGCGCGAACTGAAAGGATACAACCTCTTCGGGATATTCAAGCAACAGCTATACATGACGGATGAGTTGATCGACGATTTCGTCGGGGGTGGGCACAACGTCATCGGCAGCGTCTACGTGACCGCACATGCGTTCTTCCAGAAAGACCCGGAGCCCGCATACATGGCGCCCCTAGGAGAAGTGCAGTTCGTCCAGGGGATCGCGGCGCAGTTTGCGTCGGGGAAGTACGGGGAGAATCTTCGCGTAGCCTCGGGCATCGTCGGCAGCGCGGACCTCGCCACGTACGGGGCCGAGCTGGAGCCATTGCTCGTTGCCTGCAAGGCCGCCAGCCCAAACTACCGGGGGATCCGATGCACTGGGGCGCATGATCCAAAGGTGAAGAATGCGCCCACGCACCCGACGCCCGGCCTGTACGCGGACGCGAAGTTCAGGGAGGGCTTCGCCCTACTGGAGAAGCACGGCCTGCTTTTCGACGCCTGGGTGTTTTCGTCGCAGCTGCCCGAAGTGGCCGACCTGGCGAAGGCCTTCCCCAACACCACCATCGTGCTCAATCACGCGGGCACGCCGATCGCGGGTCTAGGGAACTACTCCGGCGCGCCGGAGTACGACGGCAAGCAGGCGGAGATCCTTCGATCTTGGAAGCAGAGCATGCAGGCCATCGTGGAATGCCCCAACGTCTTCGTGAAGATCGGTGGGCTCGTGCTCCCATATGTGGGCAGCGGGATGGAGTCCCTTGACAAGCCGGTGGGTTCGGAAGACTTGGCCTCCAAAGTGAGAGAAGCCTTCACCTTCGTGGTCCAGGCCTTCGGCCCACAGCGGTGCATCTTTGTCATAGTTGGGTAACATTTTACATTTTTAAGGGTGCTTAAACCCAATAAGGAATATAAATTTAAAATTTTAATATTACCCCAACAACGAACAAGGCATGTTCGAGTCCAACTTCCCTGTGGACAAGGTCGCGTGCAGCTACACGGTTCTCTGGAACGCGTACAAGCGGCTCTCCGCCGGTTTGCCCGAAGGGGATCGCTGCAGGTTGTTCAGTGGTACTGCTAAAGAGGTGTAGAAGCTGTGAACTCTTTGATGCGTGAAAGCTGCTTATGGCGACCTTCCAGTTGGTGGAAGTCGCCGCGCTGAATCCTTGAGTCTTCCGTGCAGTCAAGTAGATGGCCCGACTTTACAGCAGTTCATGGGGCTATGGGCCATCTGCCGGGGTCATTCGTGTTCCGGGGGCTAGGAGTCAGGGGTCATGGTTTAGTGCTTTGTGTTTAGGGGGTTAGGCATTGGCTAGAGAACCAAGAACCTAAGAAAACGATGGGTCGTCATACGGAATGCCCGGTTTTCGAGGCCCAGGTTTTCAAAACCGCATTTCTACAACGATCTACAATTCTGCTCTGGGGAGCCCATACAAAACCGTCGCAAACCCGTGAATACTCGTGGGAAGCCCGTAAAACCCGTCGCGCCAACCCTTCTTTAGGGAACCGCGTTCTTCTCCCCAAACCCCGCGGTCCTCCCAAGCGACCCTACTTTTCTTGCGTTTTGGAGTCTCTAGGTAAGGCTTCGACAGTGTGGTTGTGGGCGCTTTCGTGGCTCGTTCTCAAATCCTATGCCATGGCTCATTGGGCCCTAGCGTGGCAGAAGACATCGGGATGGTGAGGTCGTTCTAAACTCGGATTCAGGGAGGTTTAGGGTTTAGGGTTTAGGGTTTCGGGTTTGTGGGGTATTGTGAGGGGCATCGCAAGTGCCAATTTGGACAGTCTCATCTGCTTCCCCTGTGGTTACAATGCTTTAGGGCTTAGTCATGTTGAGGGATTTGTGTGCTTTAAACCCTAAACCCTAAACCCTAAACCCTAAACCCTAAACCCTAAACCCTAAACCCTAAACCCTAAACCCTTGGCTTCCCTTTTTTCTCTGAAATTTGGCGTCAGGCTGCAACAACGGCAGGCATGGCCTCGGTGGTTTAGGGTTTAGGGTTTAGGGTTCAGGGTTCAGGGTTCAGGGTTTAGGGTTTAGGGTTTAGGGTTTTGGGTTAGTTCAGGGTTTAGGGTACCAGTATTCCGCTTGTTTGGGTTTGTCAAAGCCCAAAAAGGACATTGCGTTGGTTCTTCCAAAGGCAACCCGTGTTCGGCCCTTAGAAACCTCAGCCTGTAAGCACACCCTCCACCCACATAAACCCTGCAATTGCCGCCAGACTGCTAAACGCCAAACCCTAAACCCCAAACCCTAAACCCCAAACCCTAAACCCCAAACCCTAAACCCTAAACCCCAAACCCTAAACCCTAAACCCTCTCCTCGCTCTTTGGCCTTGCATGAGAGGTTGGTGAGGCCATGGTGCGAGACCTGGAGGAGGGAGATCTCATGCGCCCGCCCTGCAGGGAGCTGAGCCTCCCCCCAGAAGTGTGGGGCTTGCGTGCCTGGAGTTCTCAGGTTTATATAGGGTCTAGGGTTTAGGGTTTAGGGTGTAGGTTTTAGGGTTTAGGGTTTAGGGTTCATTTTTGAGGGTTTAGGGTTTTGGGTTTTAGGGTTTTTGGGTTTTGGGTTTTGGGTCTAGGGTTTGTGGGTCAATGCCCCTGAACTCAGGATCACAGTTCGATTCATCATAAGGATCTCTGAGGTGGTTTCAGGGTCTTGGGCTCTCAAATCAAGATGAACTTATACGCCAGAAATACATGCCCTTGGTTTTTGGGCTCCCTTCGTTTGTCGCCCTTTTTGAAACCCTAAACCCTAAACCCTAAAGCCTAAACCCTATATAAACCATTTGTACCTCTGGGAGGAGGTCCGGGTTCACGTGGTCAAGGGGATTGGGGGATGGATTTGAAGCTAGTTTTCAGTTCGGATTGGGGCAGAGGATGTGGGGGGTTTACCAAAATAAGGGAGGATCCCCTTAGATAATACGGACCCCAATAAGGTACCACTAATATCGTAAACCCCCATGTAGGGTGGAGGCCGATGTCATGGAGAAGGTTCATGGCGAACTCTGACTTCAGCAGCTCGTTTCACTACAACTCGGAGGCTCCGCAACCTCAAAACCTGAAGCTGCTAGAAAACCTGATCCCATGGGTCCAAGTCCTCAATCGTAAAACCCGCGAATAAGCGTTCCCCCCCTAAAACAACAAATATCATAGCTCGGCAACCCCCGTTTGTACGCAAACCCCCAAACCCTAAACCCTAAACCCTAAACTCTAAACCCTAAACCCTGAACCCCCCCTTTTTTCGAGGCTGTCCGAACCTCGACCCTCCATGCGACAGCGCACGGAGCACGCCGATACCCCGCTCGCACTCGCGCCTGCACGAGGCACCAGCCAGCAGAGTTGTTCCTGTGGGGGCTTGGGGCTTAAGATTTAGGGTTTAGGGGTTCAGGGTCTACTGTAGGGTCTAGGGTTTAGGGTTTTAGGGCTTAAGATTTAGGGTTTAGGGTCAGGGTTTGGGGTTTTGGGCTTTAAGGTTTAGGGTTTGTAGGGCCGATAGAATGAAAAAGTTTACAATATATATATATATATAGATGTGAAAATTGGACGGGCTTGTCAAGACGTCCTTCTTCTCCGAGAGGACCACAACCAATGAAAAATGAATCGGACAAGGCCATAACCCCTAAAACCCCCAAAAACCTCGCCAAGCCCCGAACGGACTATGAAGCAGGTGGAGAGGTGCACGTCTTTGAGAACTTGCATGGCGATGCACAGTTGAAATGTCTTCGTATTTTCACGTCTATTTCAACTTCGTTTTCACCCACAAATGCTAAGCCAAAGTATGTTCAGTACAACCGACTATTTTCGATGTCAAGAACCTTGTTCAAGGGAGAGGCGCTGCAAAGTCTTGAAGCCATCACCCACCCACCCCCCAAACATAATTTTCCTAATAACAATAGTATGATTACTAAAAAGTAGCCGGCACAAACAAGTATCAAACGGCAATCCAGATGTACCCTAAACCCTATAAACCCTGAACACCCTAAGCCTCAAAACCCCTAAACCTGACACAAGCCCTAAACCCTAACATTCTGTGCCCGGACACCCTAACCCCTGCAACCCACAGACCTTTCTCAGCCTCAACCCTGACACTCCGTGCCCGAACACCCTAAGCCCTGTAAACCCAAAACCTTACTAAGCCCTAAACCCTAAGCCCTAAGCCCTAAACCCTAAACCCTAAACCCTAAACCCTAAGCCCTAACCCCTAAACCCTCACCCGAACACCCTTTGAGCCCTGAATCCGGCTCCACGTGTGTGGCCCAAGACGTACGTTCCTAGCTCCCGCAAAAGCCCCATCCTTCTCTGAGGGCTTTAGGGTTTAGGGTTTAGGGTTTATAGGGTTTATAGGGTTTAGGGTAGGTTCATGGTTATAAGTACAGTTATAAGAGGTTAGTAAGTACCATGAACCTTCAAGTAGGGTTTTGGGGTTTTTAAGGTTTGTGGGGTTTAGGGGTTAGGATTCAGGGCCTTCAGGTTTAGGGTTTTAGGGTCTCAGGTCCCGCTTCCTTGCAGAATCTAAACGGGGACTCAAAAAAGGGACCTTAGGGGGGTTATGTAGGGGGGTTACGTAGGGGCTATTTTGTGGGCTACTTAGGTAGAGGGACTCTATAAGGTAGATTTTAGGGTTGCCTTGAGGGAATAAGATGAAGGGTCCCTTCCAGGTGTCCCTCCTTAGACCCCTTAATCTTGGACATTTGGTTTAGGGTTTAGGGTTTTAGGGTTTAAGGTCCCGCTTCGTTTAGGGTTGAGGGTTTATTTTTGCTGTTTAGGCTCAAGGCAGGTGCCCGGTCTGTGTGTTTGGAGCCCTCCTACCTGTGGAGACTAGCCTGCGGCCAGGCTCTCAGGCGGATTTCTTTCGCACGAGCCCGATGCGAATCCTACACAATTTCGTGTGGTAGAGGCTTGAGATTTGGGTCCTAAACCCTAAACCCTAAACCCTAAACCCTAAACCCTAAACCCGAATCCTAAAAGCACACCAACAGCGTTGGATGGGCTCCTGCACCCCCCGGCATGCTACGTCGTCACTGCGAGTTCCCCTAAACCCCAAACCTTGAACCCTAAACCCTAATAAACCCTAAACCCTAAACCCTAACCCTTAACCCCTAAACCCTAAACCCTAAACCCTAAACCCTAAACCCTACTGTGTATTTCTGAGCATGCAAAGGTTAACACAACGCCCGTCTGGTGTGAGGTCCACGCCCCTGCGAATGGCCATGGCGAAGAGCAACAGCGAAACGGGGCCAGCGGCCTCAGCCGCAGGGTTTAGGGTTTAGGGTTTAGGGTTTAGGGTTTAGGGTTTAGGGTTTAGGGTTTAGGGTTTTTTCGTGGCCATTCGCAGGGGCGTGGACCTCACACCAGACGGGCCTTGGGTTAACCTTTGCATGCGAAGAAATATACAGTAGGGTTTAGGGTTTAGGGTTTAGGGTTTAAGGTTTAGGGTTTAGGGTTTAGGGTTAGGGTTTGGGGTTTGGGGTTTAGGGTTTAGGGTTTAGGGTTTAGGGTTTAGGGTTTAGGGTTTAGGGTTTAGGGTTTAGGGTTTAGGGTTTAGGGTTTTTTCAGGGGTTTAGGGTTTCGGTTTCAGGGCTTTAGGGTTTCAGGGGTTTAGGGTTTCAAGGGTTTCGGGGTTCAGGGTCTAGGCTGGGGGGTTTAATTACCTTTTCGAGGCTGGCATGTAATATGGGTCATGATAGGGTCACATACAGGGAGTCCTTTTGGGTTCAGGGATCCTGACCCCTGTTCTAGCAACTGGGGTTTAGGGTATAGGGTTCCGGGTTTAGGGTTTGAGGTTTCGGGTTCAGAACATTAGCCAGCAATTTGGGCATCTAGGGCCTTGCACTGGTGGCAGGGGTACATACTTGCAGGGGGTTGGAGGGTCAGTGTTTGGGTTGAGGCTCTAGGGATAGGGTTCTTTTGATGCTCGGGGTACAAGGTTTGGGGTTTTAGGCTTGAGTGTTTGGGGTTCATGACTAGTTTGGATTCAGTGCTGCGGTTTTGCGGCTTGAAGGAAATTTGTCGCAAGACTACGAGAACAAATCAAATCAACCCCCAACCCCCCCCCCCCCCCAGTTCCAAAAAAGAGTTGTGATT